ACTAAAACTACAATTCAAGTCTCCTTAACAAAAGATACAACCATGGTATAGCTTCTGTGAAAGGTAGAGTTAGTACATTTGCAAACACATTTTTTATCTAATCCTAGATTTCTGAGAAACATAGAACACATTAGACTTTTGTTTTCTTGTCTAAAGACGGTTTATTTGATCTTCTAACATGTGATCCAGATACAATAACTTGCATTACATTTTTCTATTATGTGAATACACAAAGCTATTAAAAGAAGGTTTAATGCCCTCAAAAGTAATGCTTATTCCCACCACCCATCTTCAAGAAATGGACTGGCAAAAAAAGACAAATTGAGTAAAGTAATAATAGCCTATATTTGTGGAATATAAAGAACAAGAAAAAAGTTGGCCCCAAATATGTTTCCAAAACAGCATCAGTCAAAGGAGAAAATCCTTTATACAAGAGTTTGTAAGACAATGTGCTGGGCAAAGTAAAGTGAATGCTATAATTATACACTTTCATATCACATGTTTTCAGTTGGCTTTGAAAAATACAGCACTGCACTTTGAATGCTCCATATTGAATAATCTCTTTAATTATCTTATGTTACATTGTTGAGCGTTTGTGTGCTATATAAAAACGACTTATGGAAAGGTTATAGAGATACCATCTGAGATTGAAAAGGCATTATAATAATATCTTGATGATTTCAGTGACATGAAAGGCTAAGCACACTTTAATAGACTATCAAACACAAATAACAGTCACTGTTAGAATATCACAGGTATTTATGTGGATTATTCATTAGGGTTTTAAGGCTTTTAAAGATGTTTAAAAACTTCACATGGAAATGCTGGTGAAGTCATGAACAATACTGTGCTCTTGATCAAAATGTCATAAAGAAACAAGATTGTTCACTGCCGTTTCCTTTAACTCGTGCATCCATCATATATATACTTAAAAAAATTGAACAAAAATGTAGCTTAAAATGGTATACGAACTATTAGACAGTGTCTTCTGTGTTCCTAGCCTCTGCTACCTCCTTGGCAGCATTGTCCCTGTTGGACTTTTGTTCTCTCCCTACTACCCTGACCCTCCTCTCCTCCTCTTTCTTCTCCTTTGCCAGCAGTCGATAGTTGAGTCCCATCCCTGCAAAGAGGAAGACGCTGGAGACGATAAGGATGATCCCGCAGCCCTGGTACGTGTACTTGTAATCATGATAGATGTCTTTGAACTTCCCTGTTTAGAAAACAAGAGCATTATTTTATAGTTTCAGTCAACTTGAATCTTCTCTAAAATACAGATGAATACATTAAAATTAGTTTCAATATATTTGGAAGGTTAGATAATTTACTCACCAAGCAAAGGGGGCCCTAACAATACAGGACCACACTCCACAATAGTGACCAGGCCAACAGCACTGGAGAAGCGTTGTGCTCCAACAAGGTCCATCAAGGTCTCAAACAGCACTGAGCTCAGCCAGCCAAAAGCAGACCCAAAGAAGATGGCATAAATCACAAAGCCTGTGTAGGTCACAGACATTGGTGCCAGAATGTGACAAACACCGTTATAAAGCACAGAGGCAGCGAAGAAGTACTGGATTCGAGGCCGGATCCACTTAGTGTTTGCCACAATGCCCATGGAGGGCCTGGCAACCATGTCGACAAAAGCCAGCACAGACAGTAAGAAAGCTGCCTTTTCTTTGGGGATGTCTCTACTCTTTGCAAAATTACTGAGGAACACCAGTGGTGCAAAGAGGCCGAAAAACATGATAATATTGCCCAGGATATAGAGCAAAAAGCCACGGTGCTTAAACAAAGATAGGTCAATGAAACTGTTAATTGTCTGCACTACAGTCTTCCTCTCTGTGCTCTTCTCCGCAGGTTTGGGTTTTGGTCCTATGGGCCGCATGAGGGAACCAGCGACACAGCAATTAAAGAGCAGGCCGCCCAGGATCATGAAGCTTCCTCTCCAGCCAAACTGGTCAAAGAGCCAAGTGTTCAAGGAGCCAGGGTGGAGAGAAACACAGGGCTGCCAGCCATCGCTATTCCATTGGCAATGGGTCGCTTGTTGTAGAAGTACTTTCCGATCATAGTGAGTGCAGGGTTGAGGTTAAAGGCCAATCCCAAACCTGAAAGAAATGGAAAAAAAGTGTGAAAGAGTGTTTTTTAAAAAACATTATTATTGAAGCTAAAAAAGTGGATGGGATAAATACACTTCATCCCACGTTTTTTTTTTAATATGCACTGCTTACTTTGTGTTAAATTTAGCAACTGAGAGTGTTGTATAGCTTTACTGTTTATTCTTTTTTATTCTTTTTGTATTAATGAATCCACCCTCATTCTATCAGCCTGCTCGGAGTAAAACATTTACAACAATTAATGAATCAATCCAGGATCTGAGCATTTAATGCGTTTGGCAATTTTAAGTATTTTTGGTGGTTTTATCCTTGAAGAACACTAGATGGCGCCAGAGGTCAAATAAAAAAAAAGTGAGTCATGACTCGACTTAAAAATACAGAAAGTTAAAATTAGATACCTCCAATGACACCAATACAAAAATACAGAGCTTCAATAGTTTTGCAGAAAGAGGCAGCAACAAGGCCCAACCCGGACAGGCATCCACCAGCCATCATAACAGGACGACTCCCATATTTATTCACCAGGATGCTGCTGATAGGACCTATAGGGTAAGAGAAAAACACATACAGACAAATCAGCATAAGGATTGGGATTTAAAAATAAAATAAAAAGCAATGCACAGGTCTATATTCTACCACCAGGGGTCTCTAGTGTCAAAGCTTTGGCTCGGAAAATTCTAACAACTTCTGCAATCATTTCTGTCAGTGCTGCAGTGCAGTAGTGTTCTCATGCCATTCATAATGCGATCTGTCAGAAAAACCATGAAGGCTGTAATGAAATAAGCTTTTATTTGTATCAGGGGTTCATTAAAATTGACAGAGAAGTATTTGTTTGTTGATTCTTCCAAAAGGGGTCTAAAATGCTTATTAAATCATTATTGGAAGTACCTCAGTTCAGATAAGTGGGTGGGTGGTATCAGTGTGCGTGTTTTTAGGGGGAGGGATTGATGAGACTGATAAAGGCTATACTACTAACATTTTTTTCAACTTTTTGCCATAGGTGAATGAGTTACAAAGAAAGCATCTCAGAATAGAACCACAATAAGTCATCCTTTTTATGCATGTTATGTATGCACCTTGGATTCAACATTAAAAAAAAAAAAAAAATTACCTTACATTTAAACAAATTACTGAAATGCATGGAGTGTTCAGGTCACAAAACAACATCTACATCTATGTCTTAAAATTACCAGCATATATGAGCATGAGGACCAACATTAAAGATACTGCTGCCTTTCTGCCAAACCCCAGCACTGTCCAATGAGGCTAAATAGAAACTGACAGTTTTTGTTTAGAGGTTGTCCACACTCATTTGCCAGCACGGTGCAAGACAAAGGGTTTTATAAATTGTAATGCAGCCAGTCTACACACTAACAATGAGTTCTTTCCTTCTGCCATGCAGGGAGAGTTGCTCGGGATAAAAAGGTTGGAGACACACCAATGTAGAATATTATGAATTTAATGAAAGAAAAATTGGTGGAGTGCAGGGGTACGCAACGGTAGGTTGTTAATGAACTTCTCCTGCTGATGTGCTCTGAATGTTTACCAGAGGGTAACAGACTCAGCTGTCATCCACTCACAGCGCTGACAAACATTTCCTCACTTACTTTCAATTACCATGCATAGCTGGCTTTTGTCTTTGCATATTTACATTTACACATTTGCATGAATTAACAATGTAACACCTAAATGTTGAGTGAACAGCTCCTAACTTGTTCAGACAGGTGCATATCTTACTGTGATGGAAGGTTAAAAAAAACACCACATGTGTGCTTCATCTGAAGGGATATTTCAAATACCAGACTGCAAAGTGAAAGACTTAAGACTATTCACATGTTCCCTAACTGAGGAACCTTTAACCCCAGCAGGAATGTCTTTCTTAGGTCTCAGAATCTTTTATGCCTTTATTAGGAGAGGGTACCTTCCCTGTGCAGTAATGAGGCTTTTACATGGAGGTGATATTTTGTTCTCCGAGACATGTCTGTTCAAGATAAATTACCATATACTCACATATAGACCATTTTCTGCTGATGTCATGTTCGGGGTGGGAAGCTAAAATGCTGCTATATTTTCTTACTACTGTTTAATCTCAGGGTATTTGGCAAATATTTACAATTGTTACAATAACAAACTGGAAAAAAAATAGATAAATTATATCCAGCCAATGTAAAACATATTTGATAAGTCATTAGCTTAGCATATTGCTCTCACTTGGCTGCGAAACAAATTTCCCCTCGGGGACAGTAAAGTTGAAAGTTGAAAAGTTGAAGAATAGAATAGAATACAGCCTTAGCAATCAACCCCCTCTTAGCCTAGAATGCCGATAGCTAGGAATTTACACTCTTACTATCAAGACATCCAAGTAAAGGAAACATTTAAATTCTTAGCCTATCAGTCTGGAAACTTTGAAATAGTGTTAGAGATAAGAAACAAAAGGAAAGGGTTCAATTTATGGCTAATGGTTATGTTAGCGAGCCATCAGTAATGTTAGCTACGAATTTGTTGAATGAAGGTTAGTCTTTCCGAACCCTAGGGCCGTAAAATATAATCTCCCTCTGTCTTTTCATCAGCCTATCTATCGTTGTGTTATTATTAAGTTGCTTATCGATGAAAAGTGTTCAGATTTTCTGCCTTTTTTTATAACTTGTGAACAGTAAAAAATAAAAGTACAAAATTATCGCAACATTCAAGCTTCCTCACCTCAAGTGTCTGAGGATCATCCGTGTGAAACGCAAACCTTAGACGAATAACTTAAACAGAAGCAATCTTTCATATGCACTATTTACACAAGGGGTTCCAAACCTTTTTCCTTGAAGCCCCCCTTACTTGTATCTTAGGAGAACGAGAACGACCCACATGGGGAAAAAAGTGATACATTGCTTTAAAAATTAATATACAGTACATTTGGATTGTTTTCATTAGAGCCTGAATTGTAGGTTTGACTGACTATGTGGCCTGATATTTTTGAAAGCATGAGGAAAACCAAAGTATGAATGTCATCCAGTGGAACAATATCAATAGAAAGAAAATACTATGTCCACTTTTACTGCTTTCAGATCCTGCATTGATGATACATTCAGCAGAACAGAGCATTTGATACAAAGAAGTTATATATGCTCTTCACATCAGTTTGGCACACTAAAGCAACTTTCCTGAAACTTCCCTGAGATTAAAAAAAGATGCTTCAGTCATCATTTTCCCAGTTTATCACACGTTGGAGTAAAGAGAACTGCTGTGTTTTGATTTCAGAGTAGACGGTCTTGAGGGACGAGGAGAGCTCCTTTGAACTCTGTTCTCTCCGTGTTGAATATCACGCACATGAATAGACCCTTATCACCACTTGACCGGCTGGACCTGTGTGACATCACCCAGCATTCATCTCGTCAGCGCAGGAACAAAACAAAAGTCTGCTGTGGTCCTCCCCTCTCAAAGCGCTGGGGAAAACAATACGTGGGTAAAAACCCATTCATGTGCTCCCGAGACAGATAATGTTGCACCTTTATAAACAAAACTTCAATAGACGAGTTACTGTATTGTTTTACCTCAGTGTGAGACATTTGATTTAAGCTGCATTATAATTCTGAGAATCTGTGGACTATTTGTGGACAAACTGAGGCTAAAAGGCTTCAATGCAAGTGTGTTGTCAACAAGCAATAGATTAGCTGTAACTAAACACTCCAGTAATAAATCTTCAACACTTTTTCAAAGAGCCAGAAATAGATTCAATCTATAGTACTTATCTAGGTGCTAAATGTCTTGTGTTAGGTTCTGCAGGCTGTATTTGTTAGCTTACCTCCGCCGTACATGCACGCTAACATGATGGAAGAGATCCAGGACACCTGACTGCTGGTCACATCGAAGATCACCTCGATCTCTTTAAAGAACACAGTGATGGACTTAGGAAATGCATAGGAGAAGCCGATAGAGATGAAGGCCCCAGCTACCACCATCCATCCCCAGCCACCTTCAGGTGGAGTGTAGCCTACAGGACCACCGACAGCAGGTGCCATTTTTTCTCTCTTCAATTTCAGCAAGTATTACAGATATGAGGGCCTGTTCAGGAGAGAGAAGAAACATGAGAGAAAAGAACTTGATTAGTTTGTTTGTTGTAAGAAAAGTTGTTTCAGATTTACAGTCGGAAGAGCTTTGGAGATCATGTTTTGAAGAATCATGTTAATTGACTGATGTTTGACTGTTCAATAAATGGGTGGATTGCTGAAAGACAAGATCAGACCCAACAAAAACATATCAAAATGTAAAAATGATGACTTTATTTTCATGTTTTGTGTTCAGCGTTCAATGATTGAAGAGAATAGGCCTACACTTTTTTTTTCTACTCCGACGAGAAAATATCAGAAACAGTTTTACTGAGTTTAAATGATGATCTTTTGAGGAATTTTAAATATAGATAATAAAAATTGTAATTCACCCATAGCTGATTGGATGATAAAAAGTGGAATTAAATATAAAATAAATAATCTACCACACACTGATAATGGCTTTACAGTGACCTTATTGTGAGTGAACAAGGTGTTTGGCCTGTAGCTTCCTCAGGTTGATTAAACAGACTAAACACATTATCCATGTTCATAATTTTTAACTTGGACTCAAAGTTTTCTCCCCATTTGGTATTCTGTTCCATGACAGTGCACATTAGACATTTTCCATAATTTTTTAACATATTTTCTACAGTTTACTTTGGGATATAACAGGAGCCCTTATGGCTATCCAGTTCTAGGTCAGTATTTCAGGCCAGCACATCAAAATCTTAAATATCCATTTGTTTTTATTTCCGCACATGTTTAAGGGCAAATCCCTTCTTCAGTGGCTTCAGGCAAACAAACTCTGGAGTTGTTTGCCTGAAGCCACTGAAGAAGGGATTTTCCCTGTTTGTTTTGCCATAACAATTTGGTGTGCTGTCCTGAAATACTTTCAATAATTTTTGGGATGAGGATTCAGCACGCATATAAGTTACTAAAGGTTTGAGTGGTTTTTGATTTACTATCAAGTTCATGGTAACAGGCTCACCCTTAAACTTTCCAGTAAGATGGTTGAAATGAATCACAGCTTTTGGTACTCATGGTATTCACGGTATTTTAAAATGACCCTGAGAGTGGGAATAAGATGCAGAACAGTTTCACTGTAACTGAATATTTTTTTTTACAAATTGATACAAAACTTTCCAGAGTCGTTAGGGTCAATGCTCAGGACAAAAACGCTGACATTCCTAAACAAACTCGGTGAGAAAACTACAAAATATCAGGCGTGTAGTCATATATTTCACGTTAACAGCCATGTTTTAACTCTTCCCTCAGTGCTTTTCACCTCTTTTGAACTTCTTCAATCCGCTTTTCCCTCCCACATAGGAGATACCTGTGTTTATTGCTGTCTGACAGAATTGATCTTTGTTCATTTCCATCCACCTTCTGACCTCTGACCTCTCTTTTCCCTCATGCATCTCATCTTCAGTTTATCGACCAAATCCGCCTTCTTACCCTCTAGTGGCAGGTGGTCTCTTTATTGAGTCACTGTATTAATTCCCCATCAACATGTTAAGCATCCACTACATGTTCTTCATACAGACCTATGAGGACTCATCCGAAACTCTGTGTTACAGATATGTCTTGTGTATTTGTGGAGATCAAATTTGTCAATAAAAAAAACCAACTCAACAAAACAATATCTAAAGAGTAAAATGCTGTTTTAGGCTTTTCTTGGCTTTAATTTTATCTCTTTATGTATTTACTAAACCCCTCCAGCTGGTCTCCTTTTAGAGGTGATAAATAAGAGTCCAGCTGCAGAGTCAAACAACTTACTGTATTGTTTACACAGAGGAGACTAGAGAGACTAGACCAGAGAAAGCATCGAACACTGCTCAATAGCTCAGGGCCCTTCTCAGGAGTAGGTGATGATGTAGTGTTTTTCATCGAGGAGAACTTGATGTGGTTGATGAATTGGTTTAGTGCTCGGAAAAACTTATTGGATAAGCCAGTAGTGCAGTGAGTAGTGAATATTTAATGCGTTAAAGAAATTTTGTTATTGAGCTGGGACCTTAGCTGCTGCTATGCAGCTGTAAATGTGCCTCCTGCTTTATTCTACTGATGCAATAGGTGGTCTAATGGAAAGAGATAAGAGCTTTTTAAATGTACTCGTACAGGGAGACATTACGGGTCACTTAGGATAATTTGATTTGAGCTGTTTTTGTGTAAGAAAAAAAAGAAATGCATCATAGATCACTTATTATTCAAAAATATTGGAGCAGAAAATGCTGTGTTTCTTCTATACTTAATGTTCTACAAGGATTTGTCAATATGTGATCTTTAACAGAAGGTATCTCTAAACAGAAGTATGTTTGCTCAGAAGAGATGGAGCTGTTTTGGCTAACAGATATTCGCCATGTGTACATGCTAATTAATTTACTTCATAATTACACATTTGGAATATGTTTTTTCCCCACTAAACTGGAAAGCAAGGTTTGACATCTATGAGTATGCTGAGCACAAGGGCGGCTGGGGCTCAGTTGGTAAACTAGGTCGTCTCGGAAGGTCTGGGGTTCGATCCCCAGCTACTGCAGCCACATGTTCAATGTGTCCTTGGTCAAGACACTTAACCCTGAGTTGCTCCCGCTGCTCCATCTGCATTACACTCTGATAGTCACTTTACATTGAAGCCTCTGCAGTCAGAGTGTGAATGGGTAGGTAAGACCTGCGCTGGAAAAGTGCTTTAAATAGTCAGAAGACTAGAAAAGCTCTATACAAGCTCAAGTCCATTAACCATTTATCTACAGAGTGGATGGAGTTAGCCTAGCTTAGCATGAAACATGCTATGCTAGTGGAGGCACAACATACCTGCCTCTGTTCAACATATGAGATAAATCTTTAATAATTCACATTTATGTAGAATGTAAACAAACAAAGAACAGCTTTTATCTAGCGTAACTATCCCAGATGCACTATGCCGTTGAAAAAAGGTTTAGATTCACTAATTGATCACTAAAAGTATTTTTTTCTAATTTTCTCTACTTTTCTCTAATGTTAATGTACTTGTTTCAAACTCCAAAGTTTTGGTTTATTTTAACAGCTATGACATTTTTGTCACTTTTGATGGATAAATGTTGTTACATATGTTATAATTATAATAATGATAGATTAAATTTCTATAGCGCCTTTCAAGGGACCCAAGAACGCTTTACATGGCAGCAGGCCAGTGTCCTATAGGGCCAGAAGTTTCAGGATGTGGCGTGTGGGTGTAGGAGGTCGAAGAGGTGCAGAGGGCATGGAGGGATTTATAAGTGAGGAGGAGCATTTTGTATTTGATGGGATCTAATTGGGATTCAGTGGAGGTGGATGAGGGTTCGGGTGATGTGCTGCCAGGGCTTGGTGCAGGTGAAAGCAGTAAAGTTTTGGACATAATGGAACATGTCCAGGGCGTTGCTGGTTACACCAGACAGGACTCCATTAGATAGTCCAGATGGGAGGTTATGAAGGCATTGATGACCTTCACATCTGTAATGTCGCCAGCCTGAAGACTGAAGGTCTGCATAAGCTCAAGAGAAATCAGTTGAAAGATTTTAACAGTCCGATAACAGTCGTTTCAAATCCACCATCTCACATCTGAAATAGGACAGTATATGCAGGGGGAAATTTACTTTACTGGAAGCACAGAGTTTCTGTATTTTCAGAGGAATAAAAAATTCAGTGGTTGACATCAGATGATGAATGGCAGAACAACTTCAGACAGATGGGACTCCAGATAAACTGGCAAAAGCATCAAAATAATGAATAAAACAGATAATTTCACACTGAGGATTGATCGCTTGTCTCGGAAATTGAGAGAAAAGTTTCAAAGAGTTCAGTGAAACTGCAGAATTCATTCTTTTAAGCCATGTCGGAGGATAATACAAGTAGACAAATGAGCAGAAGTATCAACGCTACCCCATTCATAGTGTAAAGGTCTAAATAAAGCCGTTAAAGTGGGTGGCCTGAAAGTGCCACTTGACATACACACACATACTAGCACAGAGCAGGGCGAGCTCTGCAGAGGACATCAGCTGAGGTTTGGTGTCACTGTTTTAAAGACACAAGACTTTGTTTAAAAAAACATGTGTTACTTACAGCACTGTAGGGACCTGAGGCCTGGTATGTGAAGTAATGAAACCCCTTTGTTGGTTGTGACCTACATCAGCAGGAGGGCAACTTAAGCAAAGCCCACCCCTCCTTATAGAAATATCCTCTGTATGCTGCATTCAGGGACCCCACCTTGACATGTTCCCACTTTAAGAGGGCTTTAGGGAAATTCATCCTGCTCTCTGCTTTGTTGAATTGGTATGTGTTTTGATGTATTTCCAGTCACACTGAACAAAAATAGGCATACAATATATCATAAGGTTGGATCATAACAAAAGCTAAAAAAAATGCTGAATGTTTTGTGAATTCAGTAAAAGTGTTGTCTTTCTTTTATTCTGCAGGAAAAGTTTTGTATCACTCTTAAAAAAGTTGTTGTTAATACTTGGGGTAATTTTCTGAAGAAGAGCCATTTTACATACTGTATAGCATTATATCTTCTTCAAATAAATTGGGTGTACAATACATGGCGAACAATTTTTAAAATGGTCAAAGCCAAAAACACAGTACATGGTTGTGCTTTTTCAATGTAGGACAGACAACATCCATCAGTCACAACAAAGAGAAAACTGAACTTCATTATCTAATATAACTTTATTATCTTACTGTTACTTCCCGTAACAGCAGGCCTCACTGAATAAGCTGTGTTTTTTTGTATATTTTGTATTGTGTTTTTTTTTTTGGTTAATTGATGTCAAACCTGTACAGGGCTGTGAAGAAGAATTTCCCATTTCGGATAATAGAGTCTTAGTCTTAGTCTAAGTCTAATCTAACTGCATGGTAGATAGGTGATACAATATGAAAATACATTCCTATTATGTTTTAGAGTTGTATACTTATATTGTTGCTCTGCTGCCACCGCCTCACCCTGGATCACACAGGGTGCTGGGGGCCTCATCTGAAAATCAATAAACATTACTTTGGCGTTGCCACATTCTTCCAAATACACGAGGCCAAGACCAAAGAAATGTTTATTGATTTTCAGAGGAGGCCCCTGCACCCTATATGTGATCAAGGGTGAGGCGGTGTCAGCAGAGCAGCAATATAAGTAGTTTGATGACTCTTTGTAGACCAGAAGCTTGAAAGCAGACTGAGGAGGATTTCCCTAAAAAACAATGTAAAGCCTCATAAGAAAATAATCCCTCTCAATTATGACTTCCAACTCACTAAACATGTGTGGTAATGTCTGTTTCTGCAGAGATGCCTTCTGTCTACTTTAAAATAAAAACACACACACACACACACACACACACACACACACACACACACACACACACACACACACACACACATAAGAATGAGGAAGGATAGAGCGTGGCTTCAACTGGATTCACATAAAATCCAGCATCTTCCCACGGGGTGATGTGGAGGCGTAGGTGTGTTTACTTTTGCTTTAGACATAAACGCCGTGAATCATCAGAAAACATTAATTTGTTCTTTGATAATTTTTTTCCTGTTGACTTTGACCCTGTCTTGAAAAATATTATTATTTCTTAGCTCTCTCGACCTCGGCTGCTCGCTTTAATCATTTCTCTTTGACTTCCTAAATTACTTTTGCTTACTCTCTTATTGACCTGGAGGGGCCACCTTTAAAGTTTTGTTTCTAAACATCAACAGACAAATCCTTATTCTGCCTTTAGTTTGGACACCAACACACGTTGTTGTATTTAAAAAGGCAAGACTAAACTTCCTATTTTAAAGGCAGCTCTGATGTTTTAATGTGTATGGCACTGATAAAAAAAACATTCTATACTTAACCACATCGATACTGGAGATGCTCCAGTATCAGTAATTTTGGAGGCCTCTGATACTGCCTGAAGGGTGATATCAGGTACTGCCATAAACTGTATAAAACATGGACAAAGTCTCAGTGAAATGCCACATTGGTGTCTGAAGAAGAACTTTGAAGCCCAACAATGGCAACAGGCAAAAAGATGGATCTGATTTAAGCCTCCTGGCAAACAGTTACAACACGTCCACCTGTCAGTCAAATCAAACTCTTTAATTATGCATGTAACTTTTAGCCTCAATAGAATCAAAACAGATGAGGTATAAAAATGACCCCCCTACAGTATACCAATAAAGAAATTGACCAAAACTGTTTTTTGTGCAAGGCTGTAAACATGTTGCTGTAAATTTGGGAATTTTCATATGGGACCTAATGAGGATTCCTTGCTTTTTGGAGTAAGCCTCAAGTGGACACTAGAGGAAATGCTTTTTTCTTGCACTTCTTCCTTGATGTCACTTTTCGACACAAGAGGCTGTCGCTTATCAATCAACAGTTTGGATACCATAACGGATGAGCCCCCAAAAACAACTTGTTTCAGGTAAATTATCAGGAGGCAGTAACAAACCACATCACTGTGGTGCCAGCAGAAAGTTAAACTCGGTCTTTCTTTTGTATTACATTGTCTTTGACAGTTTGATTGGTATTATCTAATACTTAAATCTAGGTATTTGAATTTGTAACAGGAAGGAAACAGGTAGAAGTATAGGACCATGTGTAATCTGTACTTCTTCAAATATAATTTGTTAACAAACAAAGTCTCAGAAAGAGAGCAAAACTAAAAACGTTATTTTGAAAGATTACAGGTGGTTCTGGTGATGACCTTCGGCACTCCTATGAAGTAGGTGCAGACTCTTGTTTCAGTCCCTAAACATCACTCACATGTTGAGCTCCAGATGTTTCCATCAGTGCACAGGTTTTATTTCCCCAAAGGTGGCACTAATAGAGGCAGATTGTCCTTTGTTCCATCTGCTATTGGTTTTTTAAACATGTTATAACCCTGGATGTCCTCACGTCTTATCTTTTTTTTTTATCATTTAAACTGAGTGGAGACTGTAAAGCAGAAATGGTTTCTGTGCTGTGTTCGAGTATGTGTTTGTATTTCTGTTTGACAACTGTCTGTAAAGCAAAATGCCCCTCAGCGACATTAAAGTTAAACTCTTCTTATTTCATGCAGTGAATTTGTCCAATTAATTATAGATGACAATCACATGCTAAATATTTGCTTGGCGAAATTGCTCACTCCTGTTATAAGTATTGTTTTAATACCGACAAAGCAATCCATCTTTAATGCATAACAGGCTGGAAATAGACTACTTATGCAAGTAATTATTTTTAAAGTGATGTCTGGCATTGTTGAATGTGCATGGTGTGTGTTTCAAGCATCTTACCTTGACAGGAGCTCTTGAACAGGGCCAGATGAGCTCTGCAGATAAACAGCAGTCGCTGAGGCACGTTAACACACTGCAGACTTCATTGAATAGGACTTAGAGTCTCTGAATATGTATGACATTAAAAAAAAAAAGAAGTCACTGCATATGTTTCACAGACAGTCCCGAAGTTATCTATGAGTCTATATCCACTGTGACAGTCCACAAGTTGCCAGCGGCACCTTGGCCTCAGACTTTATCTGTGTCCAAGCTGCAAAGTTGAGTTCATTCAGAGCCCAGATCAAACAGCAGGACGATGTGGACACTATGGTGCTAAATGGTGAGGTCAGTCAACTTCTTATTGGCTGTGGGAGGCTTAGAGCCATGCCCCTACAATGCTTTCTCCACCCCTCTGTCATGTGCCGAGCTTACACACAAGGTTAAAGTAATTCACTATGAGGGGCCCTTTAGTATGTGTGACCCAGGAGGATATCGAAAAATGTCTGCGCTCTAAAAGATAAGATGCTTTCTGAGACTCTGATTTCCTGTATTAGCTGATTTATAAACCCTATTGGACACTGCAGCTATACCAAATCCAGTCGTACTTAAACAACAGACATTGTTTACCTAAAGTACCTGAAAGAAAGATTTCTGAACACTTTAGGGGTCATACATGGTTGAGCCTTTCTCCTAAACTCCCCGAGGAACTATTAATGGGTCTGTATCAGGGCTTGGGAAAGGAAAAGCCTGAGTACAGGAGGTTATTCAAACAGTATGTTCTACAAAGTGACATCAAATTCTTGACACCCTTGAAACATTATTTCTCTTTGTTGCGTTGTTTTATGTTGTTCCCCTCATTTTTCCCACTCCATGTGACTTTTATCACTTTTCAAACAGAGGATACATTACAGTACCACCTACAATACACTGTGTTCTCCTGGACTGGTGTTTGATCACAAGCACAGTGTTGAGAAGCTTACAAGTATGCATTTGTGCCGTCTCTTATTTTTGACAGCCTCTCAACACTTGCTTCAGAACTATAAACACTCTTTTGGTTTATTTCTCACTTTTACTGTCTAATTTTTTACAACATGCTAGTTGCATTGGTCAAGGTCGATCCATCGCTTTGGCTCATGCTGACATTTCTAAACTTATTCTTTACCGATCAGTGGGAAATCTTGTACAGACCTTCATGGTCCCAGGATGAAAAAAAAGCTATGGATTGATGGTGATACTGTGACTTTCCGTGTGGGTGTAAACAGCAAGTTTATTTGTGATGTATGCAGTGACATGAATTGTTAACTGTTGGATTGGTTGTCATTCAATTTTCTTCATATATTCAAGTTCCCGGTAGATAACTTCTTGGATGAGGACTAAAAGAGGCATCACATCCTTAGTACCACGCAGCATCCAGCAGATCAACAAGCTCTGATTATCAGTGGTAATTCTAGAGTCTGTTTGGGCCCAAAATTCACTGGGGTCCTCATGTGGGCCCCCTACTGGCCAGGGGCCCTAAGCAGTTTATTGCTTTGCCTGTTGACAATCCTCTGCTGACAATACAGTACTTAGCTGGTGCTCAGCACTTTATTTAACTTGCTACATGAAATTCCTTACATCATGGATGCTTTAATGATATAAACACGGTTTTTGACGATTTTCTTTTATGATTCCTTGTACAGTCCTTTATGGTTGTTGATGTCTTTTGTCTTTTTTCTGCTCTTAGTGCCCTAAGCTGCCATAAAGGTTTTACGGACATATCTTTCGGTTTTCTTTCTTTCATTAATATAAGAGTTGGTTGTGAACGGGAGGTGCTGCAGCCATGTTTTAATGTTGTTGGAAGGAAACTACAACTCCCAGTGCTGACGGCTTCTGCAGAAAGTCATTTCCGCCAGGTCTCCATGGTGATATTTACTTATCATACATGAGAAGTAAAACATAGGCATAATCTGCACCAACTCGTCACTGAGGTTGAGAGTCCACTCAGGGTCTCACATCTGCAAGATGGCTGTCAGAGAGCGACAAATTTCTCTATCATGAACCTTAAAAACAACGAAGACACCACCTTGTGACGCTATTTGGTATTACTATCCTATTTTGACTTACATGTTGTAGATGTGTTCTTAAATGTAGGGATATTATAAAATACAAAAATGTAAACAGTGCATTTATGCAAAAAAGTCGCCTTGATTGAGAAATTCAGGTATTTTTCCTTGCAGAGGGTGCACTGCCTCTTTTCTACAATACTCTCAGCATTGTCTGCAGTGTATGAAACAGATGGAAAAGCTGAAGCAGACAGTAGTCCTCACAGGAATTGGTTGAAACGTAAAATAAAGTTAAAGCTTGTTTCTCAATTTATTTTTAGCAAGACTTAGCATGCTAACACACTAAACAACATACTACAGCGGCTTAACTACACCATGTTAGCATTGTCATTGTGAGCGTCTTAGCATTCAGTTCAAACAACCCCCTGTGTTTAAATACAACATCGTCCTACAACGCCGGCTGTATAGACGCTTAGTCCTGTTTACTCATATGAGCTAAGAATAAGGAAAGCTGGATGCAGACTGAGTTAGTACGTGTGTGATGACAGACTAAAATCAGTATCTGCTTGTTGTGAGCATGACAGGGACTGCAAAACACAACAGGAGCATAATGTTCAAGAATTTCCTTTATGCTTTTCAGGAATCACATTTTCTCTCTCCCTCTGTTACCAAGTGATCGGAACTCTGGTTTATTCTGCAGTCTGGCAGATAGGAGCCTCTGCTTCAAATGACCTTATAGCTTTGTCAGAGGGATTAAAATTGATTAGCTCAGCTATGTGAAACACAGCTCCTATAGAGTATAATAAGCTGCAGTAAAACAGCTATATGTACTCAATCAAAGTAGGACATTCTCAGTCAACACACACAGCACCAGTGCTCCTACTTCATTACTGTGACTGATTTTCCAAGAGGCTGCACTATTCTCTAAAAAAACAGGAAAAAAAAAACAATTCCTCGCAGTACTGTTTACCCCACCTCATCAAGTGCAAACCATGTACCTCTCTGTTTACACAGATATTACAGAATAAATCCATTCTGCCATACAACAAGAGCACAAGTCTCATCAAGTTGGTTATTTTACAAAAACAACACCAGCAGTACAACCAGGAACCAAATAAACACTGCACCAACTCCAGAGTCGACTGCACTGGATGTAATTGCACCGTGGCACAAAGAATTGACACTTACAGGTCAAAGATCAGTTGCAATTACCTTTTTGCCCAGGCAAGGTGGTACGGATGAAGAAGAAGCAAATCCCGGCTCCCTGGACCGAGACAGAGCGGCGTCTCCATGAGGGTCAGGGCGAGGGCAGGATGATGCAAAAGCTAATTAACTCTAGTAGGAAAACATCTATTCCATATAGAGGCAACAAAGACAAGATAGTGTTCACACAGTTCAATGTATAAAATGGCTCAAGACCTGATCCAAAATCATGAACTCTTTGTGTGTTCCTCTCAGTACAGATAAGCTGTTTTCGGCAGAAATGCCCCCCCCCCCCGGAACCTGGCCAGACAGCAGACTCACTGACACCGTGTGACTGAAAGTGACTGGAGGTCTGTCCATCACAGGCTTGGACAGCAATGCCTCATCTGTTCAGGAGAGCAGTTCAGGAGACATTACTCTCCTGAATGGTTCACTAAAGGATATTATGCACTTATTAGATCCTTGAGACTGGAAGCATTACACTTATCACACCGGGATGTGATGCACTTGTTGGACCCTAATGATGAAGTTCTCTTTATCTCTTGGTACTGGAACTAGAGTGATTCTAGTGTGAGTGAGAATCTAGTGTGAAGTGAATATCAAACCACCTTACAGTTTAAAGCTCCTGTGAGGAATTTTTGATTTGTGTTGATTTTGGCACCCCCTGTGGACAAAGTGGTATATCTTATTCCTCAGCTGATCCTGATATCTACCTAAGTCGTAATTTGTGTTTTCTGACCAAAAAACAAATCATGCTCTCTATTAAAAGTCCAACGTATCACTCACTTAGAATCTTTGATGTGGAAAATGAAAACAAAGGCTGTTTCTGCCTGATTGACGCCGACCCTATTGCAGTGTTTACAAGTATAAAAAACTATAGAAATAATCATTACTGTTACAATGCTCTGCTTTTCTTTTGATGCTCATATGGAGGCATTGTGAAAACCCAAAATCTAATCTTGCTACAGTTTTTGTGTTTACTTTACCTCAGATTTGAGACAAGCATGTTCAATGAAAAAAAAAAACTAAACTCAAATTCAATCAGATGGGGAACCAAGGGCCAGAAATCACACTTAATGTGGGGTTTGGGGCCTTACTGGTGCCATTTTAGGTCCTTGACTTAAAAACGTTTGTGGACGAGTTGCATAACTGATCATTTGATGAGTGCAAGTCCAGGAATTAAACTCATTTAACCCATTTGAGTCGCCGCTAACGTTGTCTGACTTTGTGACAATAGTGAGAAAAGCAGAGCTTGAAAATAGTACTCTGTGCTTTTTTTTTTCAATATGACAGAACCCCCCGTCATATACACACACATTTGACCTTCTTATTATAAAGAAATTCATATATGAAAAAAGAACATAGGAGAAAAAGCTTGAAGACATGTGTTGCCAAGTTATACAGTGCAACATAAGAATGAACAAGCATAGCCACATTTCTACAGTGCAGCTTATAATGGTAATATACCTCAAAGTAAGGCACAAACACCTGTACTGGATACACAGACTCCTTATTATGTATTGTCATCTATACCCTCTAAATTAAAAACATGGTGTCCATGGTCATTCACAGGTGATCTGATCATGTATAACAGCATAACTTTGAAACCATTAGTTGGGGGTGCATCCTGATAGTGATTACAGCGACGACATCACTTACTTATTTTCTTGATACACCTGAGTGCATTCATGACACGATCTATCCTACTAATTTGTCTTGTGCCGTGTGGCTAAGCACAAAAGTGCATTGTAATATAACCAGTTCACAGGACTTTGCCAGCTTCTGCAGCCTTCACTGAGGCATTCATGATTTCACAAAGCATTTTTGGGACGGTTTTTTGTGCTTTGTAACATTTCACGGCACATTTCAATGTAATCACACAGATTTGCAACACGAAGGGTCGGCAGTGACACACACGGCTGGGCGCCACAAAAGGTGACCTATGAAAGGATCGGAAGCTACAACTCAAGAGTTTTCTGATAAATACCTCGATTACACGAGCTTTGGTTTGATCTTTTGTTTGTCTACGAGCCCTCTC